TTCCCCACAAATATAATGACATGTCCTCCAATCAAAAAATGGTAAATAATAATGATTTGAGAAACTGACATTTAACACATGCTGATGTACAACATGTCATGTTTCAAAAAAAATTAACAGTTCAGTAAGCCGTAGGATAACATACGACCTGTTAACACGTTCTGCAAAATTGCAGCACATTTTGGTGGACGTGTGGTAAAAATCTGTTGGGAGGGAGGTGGGTGCAAATGTAAGGGATGTTCCAAGAAAATGTGGGGAAGGGGGGAAAGCATGATGGGGGAATGGGGTTAAAGCATGATGGAAGGGGGGGTTAAGCATGGTTGGGAAGGGGGAGAAAACATAGTGGGAAAGGAAGGAAAGCATGGTGGGGAAGGAGGGAGAGCATGATGGGGAAAAGGAGGGAGAGCTGATGGGGAAGGAGGGAAAGTGTAGTGGGGAAGGAGGAAAGTGTAGTGGGGAAGGAGGGAAAGTAGTGGGGAAGGAGGAGAAAGCATGATGGGGAAGGGGGCGAAAGTGTGGAGGGGAGAGCTGAAATAATGGTGAGCAAGGGGGAAAGCATGGTGGGGAGTATGGGTGAAGGACAACTGTGGGAGATGGGTGTCCTGCCCTCTGTCACATGGGCAGGAGGCTGAGGGCACGTGTATGATAGGATGGGTGAAGGTAGGTGTAAAAATTGTTAGCAATGGGTATGATGGGTTAAGTTTAGAGTATCTGGCAGTGAGGCTCAGGGTTCCATTCATACATATCTAATACCATACCCTGTGCTACATTCACACATTTCAGTACCATACCTCAGCCACACACCTTCACCCACACCAAACAAAAACAAAAAAAATTTTTTATTTCTTTGTGCAGTATACAAGTTGTAGTGTACATGTAATAAAATACTGCTAAAAACAAAAGAAATCCACTAGCATGCATGTGCCTTTCGGGCAGAATAATTCTAGCCCTTACAGATTTTTAAGACCAGACATAGATTATTACGTGGTAAATTTTAAGTATGCATTATTACAAAAGTGCTCATTCAACTTTTCCCCCCTCCCTCCTGTGGCCACAAGCCCTCACTGCACACTCAGCAACATCACTCATATAATTCCTCCACGTCCACATGCCTTCACCCACATCATTCCGACCAGCAACCCCATCCCCCCCACACAACTCCCAAATTGGTCACACACCTTCATTTCACACCATCCCAACCAACAACCTACCCCTACACAACTCACCCATACAATTCCCCCTACATCACATGCCTACAACTACACTATTTCCCCACTACCCAAAAATCGCACCTTGCCCAGCCCCACGACCTCACGCCCACACCTTACCCAGCCTTTCACCCTAACACGCCCCCACATACCTAACCACCCACCACCCTCATTACCACCTCACCACCAACCACACAATCACACCAGTAACAACCAACTTGGTCACCAATTACTCAACTTCACAAACCATAAACACCTAATTCATCTCGGTCCAGACTTCAACACCTTCTGCAACCACACGGGCCAAGGCAAACCAGACATCATTCTGGCAAATCGAGCCAGCTCTCTATTTCAACACTACATCTCACCTGGCCCTATTACAGGCTCTGATCACATCCCAGTCATCTTACACATCTCCTCCAACCCTATCCTCATCCCAGCCACACCTTCCTTCTACAAGAACGCTGACTGGGATGCTTTCAAACAACATACAGACAATACTAACCTCACCTATGACTACAACAACAAACCTATCTGACATTGATACTCAACTTGATCTCATCCATGACACCATTACACAAGCAGCGAACACCGCAATACAAAAGAAAACTCACACCACTCATTATTCCTTCAAACCCTCACTCAGAACAAGAAGACTAATTATCTGCTACCACAACTGCTTCCTCTACAACACAGATTTAATCAAGCCCAATTAGATCTTGCTTACCTTAGAAACAACATTCTACACAGCCTAGACCAAGACCACAACAATCACTGGTCACAGCTCATACAACAAGCAGATAAATGGCGTATTAAAAACACTAAAGCCTTCTTGAACTTTATCAAAAAAATCAGAGGCACAACTCCCACCAATAAATTCAAACACATCACCCACAACAATACACACATCTAAGACCCACAGGCTGCTACTAATATCTTCAAACACATCTGGGAGAACATCTTCCACCCTCACCCACCTCACCCTAATGTTATTCAACACATTCAGAACATAGAACACTGGAACAGTGTGTGTGTGTGTGTGTGTGTACACACACACACACACACACACACACACACACCAGATAGCCACATACATCTAGACTCTCTTACCTCCTCCCAAGAACTCGACACTCCTTTCACCAACACAGACATTAAAACTCTCCTCAGACACCTTCTTCCCAAGGCTCCTGGTGCCTCTGGCCTAAACCATATTATCCTAAAACACCTTCCAGACTATCATTACTGCCTACACAAACCTCCTCAATGCCTCCCTTGCCTCTGGATACTTCCCTTCACTCTTCAAAGCTGCTACCGCTATCCTCCTTCCTAAACCCAAAAAAGACCACTGATCCTAGAAACTATCACCCTATCAGCCTCCTCGAAACTTTAGGGTAACTCTTTGAAAAACTCATCAACCATCGCCTTTGCAGATACCTGGAACACAACTCTCGACTTTCTGATGGCCAGTTTGGCTTCAGAACACTCAGATCCACACAGGATGCCATTAACATCATTCTCAACTACATCCACATACACACAAAACAAAGAAACAGGACAGCCCTGGTTGCAAAAGACGTTGAAAAAGCTCTTGACACTGTCTGGCACGAAGGGCTCAAGTACAAACTCGGCACTAACTTTAACCTGCCTCTCACTACTTGTATACTCCTCTGCAACTTCCTAAACGCCCATACCATGAGAATCAAATTCCAAAGCTGTTACTCTGACTACTTCACACTAAATGCTGGAGTACCCCAGGGATCTGTCCTCTCCCCTACTCTCTACATTTTATATACTAACGACATTCCAACACCTGTATACCACAACATCACACTAGCCTATGCAGACGACATTACACAACTTATCACTCACGCCAATATAGATACACTCACACACAACACACAAAATGAGGTCGACAGGATAGCCATCTGGGAACAAAAATGGAGGATCAAAACCAATGCAGCTAAATCCAGCATTACATATTTTAACTACAGGAAACGTGATCCTCCATTACCTGTCAAGCTCAGAACAGTTGACACCCGCACTTACATCCCCATCACACAATCTATCACTGTCCTTGGCGTTAATCTTGACTACCTTCTTCGTTTACATGGACACATTCACTCAAGGCATGCAATAGCTAGTAAGGCCCTTGCGGGCCTCTACAAGCTGAAACATGCCTCCCAACGCACCAAACTACACCTCTACAAATCCCTAATACGTCCTCTGATAACTTACTCTCCTCTAGCCCTCTCTCTTGCAGCTAAAACAAACTTACTTAAACTGCAGCGAGTCCAGAACAAGGCGCTGCGGTGGGTGCTTGATGTCAGATGGGAGGACTTCGCCACAAGCGAGTCTCTCCATTCCCAATTAGACATCCCTGCGCTGAATCTGTACTGGAAGACGCTCAGTGACAGATAGACAAACTTAAGACAACATGACTACTGGACCTCTCTCCTTGAAGACATTCGCAGACCCACAAACCAACACAACCTTTCTACTCCTTGCATGATCCTGCTCCTAACCCTATTTACAAATAACCTTGGATTCTCTGACAGGTACCATTCTTTGACCCACGTTCGCCTTAGCTTTTGGGTTAAGACATGGCTCAATTCTACACTCCTTTCTAGCGCTAATCTTCGCCTATCCCTTCCTGCTTACCCCACCAGAGTCCCAACAGAAGAGCCTGAATTTCTCTTCTCAATCTGTCCTACGATCGCCTTCGCTGCTGGGTTAAGCCCTGGCTCTATTTCTACGACTAAGAACACTCCTCTCCAGCGCTATTCTTCGTCTGTCCCGTCTTTCCCATTTGGGATCTTACCTGAACTTATTCGTTCATTAGTTCAACGACACAAATTCACCGACCCACCTGCCCGCCCACCCACCCAGTCACCCCATTATACAATTGCCACCCACCCAGTCACCCATTATCCAATCACTGCCCACACTGGGCCACTGAAAACCATAACTTTCACCTACACAGCTCCTCTACAGTTTTATGCTCCCACACCTTACCCATGGTTTCATGGCATACACACCTAGTCATGTAGCCACCCACCACCCTCATTACTGCCAACACCAACAACTGCACACTCACACACCACCCACATCTCTCTTACCTTATCAGTCCACTGACAGTGCCACTCCCACAGTCACCATTACACTGCCTTGTTGCTTCCAGATGACACACCCCTCCATTGCCCAGCATCCTTAACTTTCAGCTCCTACTCTTCACCAATTGGTCTTCATCTCCCAGAACAGCAGCCCCCAATCCCCCACCCCCACACAACTGCTCTAACCCCTGCTTTATAACCCCCATGCAGTTGCAACAAGTAGGGCAACCGAACAAAGTGCCTGTTTTGCTAGCAGAGATGTGGTTGCAGGATCTTTGATGCACATAACCACATCAACCTTCAATTACATTATCACTGTTTTTTACAATTTTGAAACCTCTTAAAATAAACCATACCACGGGCAGGGATAGAACCCGCGATCAGAGTATGGTTTGTTTGCAATTGTGTCCTTACGATTTCGTGAGTCCTCTTAAAATATTTGGTTGGCTTTTTTGTGGATTTAATGAACACAACCCTATTTTTCCTTTATGTTCTTCAGTCTGGTTTACACAATTTTTATCATTAAATGCCATTTTCAAGAATGTAACTACCACATAATCCCACAGTCTACTGTATATACAGAATACAGAAATTATAAGTTTATCATTGGCTCCTGGTAACATAATACTAATACAGCATGAAAATCCTTATGGATTAATTAACATTCACAGATGTAGCATACCTGACATGCAAATAATATGACAGTGCAGAGTCCAACCCATGAGTGCAGGCTGTACATGTTAGGAATTGGTGGGTGGCTCTTATTGTGGAAATCAAATACAGCTACAAGCCCAACAATGGAGAAAATGAAGGCACTCAGTTGTATCAGCATGTGTAGGATCTTCAGCTTTTTCTTCTTCTCAGAACGAAACCCTCGGTAGATCATAGCCCCTGGAATGTATTGACATTATTGCAAAAAACATTTTAAATTCTGAATTGAAGTCTTTCTTTTTTGAGTCACCCTGCCTTGGTGGGAAACAGCCAACGTGTTAAAAAAAAATGAGATTTAAACACCAACATGCCTTATAAAACTTAACATACAAGAACATCCATATACATACAATTATAACACTATTTAGTAGCTGTTATACTTAAAATATATTACTGCAGATTCTCCTCGCTTAACAACAGAGTTCCATTTCTAAGACCATGTCAGTAAACAAATTTATCACTAAGTGAGGAGCATACTACTACATGTATAATGGTAGTGGGTTTGTGTCATCCATCTTTGATACTGTTTTAAGGTCACCTTTGCACCATTTATAACACAACTGGTATATTTTTAAATGTTTATACAGTAGTGTAGTATATATTGTAATAAACAGAATAGAGGAAATCAGTTCTAATATACATTACTTAGGTATGCATACTGGTCAGGGAGTCCGTCTTAAGTCCGAGTCATTGATAAACGAGTACGTTGCTAAGTGAGGAAAGGCTGTATTAATGTAGAAAATTCTTAGTTACTTATTTTGACAAATGAAGCAGGAAACTAATGCACAACTAAGCTGAAGATTCTGTTTTACAGTACAACTCACTTATACAATAGTTTGATTACTGATGCAAATAGCATCAGTAATCAAACTATGATATAAAGTCATGAAACATTATGTAATTACTGTATAACAACTCAGCTGCAATAATTCTATTTCTTGGTAAGAAATTGTAGGGAATCCTGCGATTCTCCAGACGACCGTTAAAACCTTACCCCAGGTGAGGGGGGTTAGGGAGAAGAGACTATGCCATAGATGGGGGATACCATCGTTCTGTATCTACTTAACTTCTAAGACTTAGCTTAGTAACAAGGCCTCCACAGGCTGTATTATACATTACTACTAACACTTATTTAGGCTAGATTAGTTAGTCATTTCAGCTTAACATAGTATAGTCTCTCCTCACTTAACAACGGAGTTCCATTCCTAGGACCACGTCGGTAAATTACTTCGTCGCTAAGTGAGGAGCATACTATAATGGTAGTGGGTTTGTGTCGACTATCTGTGATACTGTTTTAATGTCACCTTTGCACCATTTATAACATTTCTGGTATATATTTCTAAATGTTTATACAGTAGTGTACTGTATATTGTAATAAACAGAATAGAGGAACTGAACTCTAATATACATTATTTAGGTATGCTTACTGGTCAGAGAGTCAGTCGTACGTCGCTAAGTGAGGAGAGGCTGTAATTACACTGCCCACAAATGCACTGTTGTGAAGGCTTACTCAGCCCTGTAACAACTTCAGACAGTATTACCAAGGCTGGCTCCTCCTCAGGAAAATTAATGTATAGAAAAAGAATAAAAACTGACAAACATAAACACTTTATTACTTAGAAAATATAAAAAACTTAAATATGAAATATTAATCCTACATTAAAGAAAATGAAAATTGGAAAATATAAACGATAACTGAATTCAACGCTAATATAAATGTATATAAAACGTGGGTGTCTGGTGTTGGTGACACTGCGTGTTGTTGAAATCGTAGCCGTTGCTGGTGATGTGAGGGGGGGGGGATCGCAGGTGTTGATGACAACCCACCGGCTCGTTCTTCACAGATTTTCTAGCTTTCAATAATCCTTCCAGATGACAGGAAAGCAGGTTTTCTCCACTGCAATGATGAGGGGTTATATCCTGCTACTTGCATACACAAACAGGTAAGTGGATCAAAATTTGGGACATCTCAGAACGTGAGTCCGTCTCCTTCAATTCTACTCGTTGATTGGCAGGTGACCCCCTCTGTCATCCAAGCTGGAAAGATAGACAGGTTACCCACTGCTTAAGAAATCACTCTCCATGATAAGTACAATACCTAAAAGACGTGGTGATCATTACAACAGTCAACTTAGAGCAAGACTGAAAGGACTAAGTTTATTATTGGTCAAAAGTGAAGCTTTCAACCAATAAATCCACTAGAATACAAGGCACGCATGTACTTACAGTAGTGCTGGGAGCTGTGAGTCTAGTGATTACTGTTTGGACCGGAGCCCCACACGTCACCTTTCGGGGGGGGGGGGGAAGGAGGGGAAGGGATAGCGGGAGCTAGACTGACCCTACCTTAACAAGCAGCCGGCAATCAAACTATCACTTTAGGGGTGGGGGGGAAAAGGCGGGAATAGTGGGAGCTAGACTTACCTTAACAAGTAGCCGGCAAGCAAACTATCACTTTCGGGGAGGGGGAAAAAGGGTGGGGGGGGGAATAGCGGGAGCTGGACTTGCCCTACCTTAACAAGTAGCCAGCAATGAAACTTTTGTTACTATATACTCCCTCGCTACTCCTATCTATTGAACTTTTCCCTCACACTGTAGACACTACCTTTCCCACCAACAGTTGCCACGCTAGGCTTGGATGGCCTAGGGACGCAGTCACACTCAAGCAGAGATCGAGACAAGCCACTTACCCACAACCACACAGTGAAATAATTCATTACCTTACACGACCCAAATTAATTGTCTCATCACGACCGGAATCTCGTAGCTGGAACAGGAAATTGCAGGACTCAACAGGTAGTTCTCAGGTATTCCCAGCCCCCAACACTACCACACGAGTATTGGTGAATGCATACAGGGTGTACACACATGCACAGGGGTAGCCACTACCATGGCCACAGACTTACCATTGCAACTGTCTGATATTGCACACTGCATTCTGTGTAGCATAGAGGTATGTACCCATTACTTTCAGTTAATCTAGGATGAGGTGGCAGGTCCTAGGCTGGATTCAAGACTGAACAGAGACCACTAACACAACAGTCATAACCCCCACAGCCTGTATTCTACACAGAAATAACCAGCTAAAAGTACTGAATTATAATCTGAAGTGAGGGCAACACTCCAAATCAGTATACATGTCACTGATATTTTGGTAGACAACATTTTTTTCCCCACACATGATAAAGTGTGTTCTTCTTTCTTCTTTCAACGTACCGGCAGCAACCCACCAAAGCAGGGGGACCCAAAAAGAAAAACATAAGTTTCTCTTTTCAACTTCAGTAATGTATACAGGAGAAGGAGTTACTAACTCCTTGCTCCCAGCATTTTCGTTGCCACTTACGACACCCATGGCTTACGGAGGAAGAATTCTGTTCCACTTCCCCATGGAGATAATGCGTGTTATATAATATATTTCAAGTCAAATTGTATAGTAACTGAGTACATTTAAATCTAAGTTAATGAAGCCTATTTTCTAATTACAGGTCAGCCATCATTAATCCAGCATCATTGGGACCTGTAGTTTGCCGGATTAGTGAGTTTGCCAGATTACAGAGTGGTTAATTAACCTATCAATAAAGAGACTGCTACATCTTCCTCATTTTCATCACTGCTTTTTCCTCCACTGGCTTGCTGCTGTGGATTTGCAACCATCTGCATAATTTCTAAGTCAGTATAATGATGAAATTTGGGTCAGTATAATGATGAAATTTGAAATTATGCTAGCCAAAATTAGTGCCAGATTACTGATGGAACTGGGTAACTGATTACCAAATTAGTGATGGCCAACCTGTACTACAATTTTAACTCAATCTGTAGCTGACAAAAATATTTTGCTGAATAAGTGTGATATTATACCTATGGTTTCACATTTTATTCCATGTGGTGTTTTCTTAGGATCCAAATGGTATGCAACTCCTCAAATATAGATGAAATAAGAAGCAACAGAACAAGCTTGGTTTGGGACACCTTACTTATACCTTAATACAATACAGTGGACCCTCCCTTTTCGTTGGGCGCTGTTTTCGTGAATTTCAATTATCGCCGACTTTTTTTTCGTAAAAAATATTGGCCCAGTTTTTGTTACTTTCCTCCATTCTCACCGGTGGCACGGAACATGTCAGTGTGCCCACGGGAACACAACCTCCCACACACCCATTCTGAGGCAGTGTCGCTTTGTTTCTCAGTAACTGAACATTATCCTGCGAGGTCATAGGAAACATTTTGTAATAATTCATTGTTTTTTGCACTTGTTTATTGTTTGACTGCTAAATAAGCCACCATGGGCCCAAAGAAAGCTGCTAGTTTCAGTCCTTTGGTAAAGGTGAGGAACACGACAGAATTAAAGAAAAAGATTGTAGAAAAATACGAAAGTGGTGGTGGTAGAGGGTGGTAGTGATAGTGGTAGAGGATGGTAGTGATGGTGGTAGAGAGTGGTAGTGGTTATGATGATGGTAAAGGGTGGTAGTGATGGTTGTATAGGGTAGAACTTTGCAAGAGCTCTTGGACAGGTTTTTTTTTTTTTTTTTCTGTGACTCAAACTGATCCTAGTGCCATTAACTCCCTTTCAGGGTCGACTGGCCCTCTCCCCAGAACTTGTTCTCAGGGTCGAGAAATTTAAAAAAAAAAAAAAAAAAAAAAAAAAAAAAAAAATCAAAAGGACTTATCCATAACAAGCTTCCTGAGGGATAAAATTACATATGAATTACTCTTTCATGTACCAAAACACATTTCCTAATCTTATTCTAACCTGTAATTTTGTCAGCTGTTTTGTTGAGAAGTGAAGCATACGTTAATAGTACCACAAATCGATTCACTGTATTATATCACTGAATCCTGGGGTTGCAATCAGCAGTCTGTTGACTGGTATGATTTGACATTGTGCTTATACACATGTGGATACGCATTTTGTGGCAAAGAAAGATGCATTCGCCACCATGTTGTCTCCTTCCACTGGTTGTAGACATGGATTTTGGTGAAAGTATTGAGTTTAGCGCCATGGTGTAGTCGAAGTATGTGTTGCTTTCCCTTGACAATTTCCATCAGGTTCGTCAAAAGAATAAACTCCCGAAAATTCTCGTCAGTGCGCATTGTTTCCATGTGTACAAGGATGGTGTATCCACTCTTTGACTTTCATCAAACTGATGGGAGTGGGAACAAATTGTCAGCTTCCTGCCAAGCCC